CTGGCTCAGGGGCTCTTTGATTTGTTGCTTGCAATTGAACAGATCTATGTCTGTGAGGCCAGCTAGTTGAAATCCTTGGAAGTCAACAGCAAATTTGCTTTAAGTTGATCCCATGAATGTATGGATTTTGCTTTTAGCGAAGAGTACCATTGTTGTGGTGGTCCTTTAACTACCATAACAAAAGATTTTGCTAATGTGGTTTTATCACCGCCCTAGAAATTATCGTGGCTTCAAAACTCATCAGAAATTACCTTGGGTCAAATTGGCCATCAAATGTTGGTATCATGTTAAATTTGTATCCCATGGGCCATTGTGCTAACTGTAAATTTATTGATAGTGGAGAGCTTGTATCAATTGATATGAATGATTTTGTGAATTTTTCTCTTGAGAGGCTTTGGTTGTTGAATTTGGGTCTTCTAAATATATGACTTTGTGACTTGCACTTTAAAGTTGTTCATTTAGTTCACGAAGGATGGCTTTGGCTTCTTCTATTCTTTACTTGAGAGACTTTTCTCTTGTTCTTGTGCGGCATTCTTTGAGTTCTTTTTTGCTTTCTTAGCACTTGCTCTTCAAGTTTTTTGAGTCTTTATTCTTCGCTTCGCTTGCCCTTGAAGAGTTTGGGTATTGGAGTGCATCTTTTCAAGACTTTGACCTTTGACCTGGTGGGTCATCTTCGGTTACCCTAGTGGTAACTTTTTGTTAGACCTGCCCATTAGCTTCTTGTGGTCGTGGGAGTTTTTGAGCACACACAACGGTGGATGCCAGATGTTGGGTAAGAAATTACACAAGCATCAAAGTTTGAACACAAGACAAAGTTGTATTCATTTCATGGTCGTACTGTACATGTCAGAGTATGTATTTATAGGGATCCTAGTCTTCATACTTTACATAAAATGACTATTTTACCCCCAACTCAAATAGTTACAACCCTTTTCAACTACAATGGCAAAGTGGTCTTTTTTTTCCTTTCGAGTCTTCATTCTTCAACTTTTGTATATCAACTTGTCGATATCTTCGCTCTTCCGGACTTAATCGATTTTCGCTTTGATTTTCTTTTTTTCTTAGAATGTTAGGCTAAGTCAAACTCTTGTCTTCGCCTAATCTTGCTTTCTTCTTTTCACCAGTGAAGACGAGATCTTTCCAGCGAAGACGGAATCTTTCTTACGAAGTCAATTTTCCACCTTCGCTTCACTTCTTTTTCCTGCAAGTAAACTTTGCTATAGAAATCACAATTTTAACTCCAAAGTTTCAGGGGCTGAGTTTTCTTAGCGAAGTTAAATCCCCAACAGTAAACACCTGGCAACGTTTATAAACCCCAAAAAATATCTTCACACTTATAAAAAATCGATGTAAGCCCTACAAAAAGATTAGGACATGAGGAAACTCGAATAAAATATTTGGGGCTCATAATAATATCACTACAAGCTTCTAAATTTTTGATTCAGCTTTAGAAAAATGAAAAATATATCTAGAAAAATCTAAAAATATTGTAATCGATGATGAATTTTTTTATAAGTTTTCCACAACAAAAGCATGAGATGTAATTGGCATGAATTCATTCAGCCACATGCACACACGATGTATATTTACAAAAATTTATACATCGATTAATGTTTTGGAAATTTTCTTGATTTTTCTGAATGTTTCCTCATTTTCCTAGAGCTAAACCAAAGATTTTAAAGTTTCTAAAAATGTTTTCACGAGCTCTGAACATTTTATTTGGATTTACCATATCCCAATCTATCTCTATTTTTTTTGAAAATTTCAAAACTTAAAGACATTTATATGGTTTAAAAACCTTTATTTGCCAAATTTTTTAACTAAAAAAAGGACAAACTCATCTCCAAAACCACTCAAACTAGGTCGGGAGATAATTTGAACAGTAGGTACACTAAACTTTTCCCCACAAGAAATCAATAGATGAAGAACTAATGGTGTGGGCCTTTCGTGTTTGGGGTGGTTGCTGTTGTCCATCAATTGGGCTAAACTAGAGGCAAAGAATTTAGATCAACCAGTCCATCAAATAAATAAAGAAAAGTTCAATTTATCTCCTTAACTATGGTGCTCATCCGATTTTTTCTTTTTGAACTACAAAACCAATTTTTTGAAACCTCTTATCTTTTAAAACCGTTTATTACACTTTGGGTGGTTTTGATGGTGATTTTGCTAATGTGTCACCACGTCAGAGGGGTAAATCAAAGTAAGTTCAAGGTCCAAGAGGTAAATCAGACTAGAAATATTTTTAAAGAAATCCAAAAGTCATAAAAATAATTGAAAATATCTAAATATTTTTACATGGAAAAATGCAAATTAAAAATCCTAAATTTTGGTTTAATCTTAGAAAATTTGTTTTACCTCAGAAAATTATGAAACTAATTTCATATTTTTTAAACATGCTCTATCTTATGGAAAGTTAAGTTGAAATAGTTTGAATCTTTATGGACTCATTTTGGTGCTTATTTGCTAGTAAAGGTCTCGTTATCCATTATAATTACTCGATGCGGATCATCTGGACTAGCAGTGGGGCTTCATCAGGACCGTATAGCAGTAGGGTGCATGTTGCCACATAGGCTAACACAACTACTTTGAAAAATTATACAGGATAGAGACCAACACTCACCCTACCGCACATACGTAGTCCCGACAACGCTCCACTAGCGCTTAAATGTAGTCAGACGATCGACATTGACTAATTATAATAGATAACGAGAACATCTACTAGAAAATAAGCAGCAACAAGAATTCATCAAGATTCAAACAATTTCAAGCTAGACATCATAAGATAGAGCATATTTTTTTTTAAAAAATCTAAAACCGGTTTTATATTTTTTTTCATGGTAAAACAAAATTTTCTATGAATTTCAGAGATTCAACTAAATTTTAGGATTTTAATGACATTGTTTTTTATGTAATAATATTTTGATAAATTTTTGAAAAATATTTTAAAGAATATTTATTTATGTATTTTTAAAAATAGTGCGCTTTTACCTTCCTGAACTTTCAATATAGTTCGATTTACCCCTTTGATGTGGTGTCACATTAGCAAAACTACCATCAAAACTAAGGTGTAAAAATAAATAATTTTAAAAGTTGAGAGCGGTCATAAACCTGATTTTATAGTTTAGAGAGGGAAATCCAACAATCATCGGGATAGTTAAACAAAGTAAATTGGACTTTTTTCATAAATCAAGCTATCGATATTCTCCTATTCATCTTCTCGTTGTCGCTACAACAACAAGAGGATCCAATGGGAAGGACTATTTTTTTGTTTTTTATATTTCTTTTAAAAATATTCATATTTATACCCTTGGATGTCCTATTTCCGTATTTAGACCCTAGGGGTCGGCATCATAGGTCATGTGCCGAGGTAACACGCCTTGGCACCATAGGCTATGACGCCGAGCTTCAAGGCCAACGAGTAGCATGGCGGTGGACGTGATTGAGTGGCAGAGTTTCGACACCATGGATCTTAGCGCCGAGCTTAGCGCTTATAGATCATGGTGCCGAGCTGGCTATAGATCTTCCTCCTATAGCTCTCACGGTGTCCACCCCGCCACCGCAACGCCGCCTATGGCCTCGCCAGTGCTGTCTATCGCCTTTCACGCCGCACGACTCCCCACCTTGGCGCTGAGCCTTAGTCAAGGCCGAGTGGCCACACAACTTGGCCCTCAAAGCCAGGTGCCATGGCCTACAGCGCCGAGACATGTTACCTCGACAATGTAGGCCACGGCGCTGACCCTGGGATTTAATAAAAAGAAAAAAGAGACGTCTAGAGATATAAAATTTTTTCTCGAATAATCTAGAGATATAAATGATTTTTTTTCCTGAAAAAAGGGCGAGGAAAAAAAAATCGGCCGCAAGGAGAGGGTGTCTCTCCGCGCCGTGGCTAGCTCATGGGGGGAGCTCCGACTATCACCGTACCGGTTCTTGGCTAACCGCAGGATGAAAAATTCGTCTGCAAATATAGTGGTTGTTTGGATCTTGAAAATATAAATAGGTTTTAGGTAACGTGTTTTAAGCAGGTTTTAGAGAAACCAGTTTTCAGATGGATAATTAATGTTCTGCACCACTGCATGCAATCCCCAGCAACGCGGCAACGACCCATCACCTGCCCGCGATGGGCCGGCTGACAGCAACCTCCGTGTTGCTTTCCAGCGGGCAAGTCAGTCAACACACTCTGCCTTATTACTGTTCCGTGTCGTATTGTTTCGCATACAAACGCGTTATGCTGTTTCCGCGACGTCGTCTTTGCATAAACACAATCCACCCGGGTTCATCTTCCTACCTTTCTTGATTCAACCACTCAAATCAGAGCCATGCTGCACTGCCCTTAACAGGTGATTGATCTCCTCCCTTCTACCTGCCTGCCGTTCGGATTTATATGTATATATATATATATATATATATATATATATATATATATAATTTCACAGTAGTTAGTTCTAGTAGGGGTAAATGTTTTTCTCATAGTTTGTGATTTCAGGATTCAATTGATTTCCTAGTACTTCTTCACTTGTTAGTTCATGTATCCATATTTTTTTTCACGAACGCACCTGAGCACGTATTTCATCGAGAAGAGAACAAGCGTGACCACACGACAAACAATCGACCAAAAAAACAACCCACGCCTAAGACTAAGACTAAAAAGAGGACTATCCATCTAAACTATGAAAAAACTCCCGCAACCGAAGAAATCCCACCGACCCACCGTAATCTTGAACATGTATCCGTAAAAAATATAGTATTCCTTTTCTCTTCCTTGGGTGCTTCAATTCCCAAGGTTTCACAGTGCTTGCTCTGAAGAAAAGATGTTTAGCACTTTGGTCTTTTAGTAGGATTTAGAGATGTGTGTGCCTTGCCTAGCATGTGCTTGTTGAAACGCAATCATATCTATATGACTGTATCCGATCCATGCAGGGTTTCTGAATTTGACAGGCCAGGCCCAGGAATACTTGAAAGTTGTCTAAAAATTTGGGAAGAAGAGCCGTGTTTCGGAATTAATGGAGAACCAGTCAGCTCAGCCTCAGCATGGTATGGCCGATCAAGGGTTTCGCCCGCTCACTACTACTCCACTGAGTTCTTCAGTTCACGCTGCACCAGTTATGATGCAGATCCGGGCACCAATTCAGATGCCGGTTTTGCCATCTAATTCAGCAGACGATGGGTACATCTGGAAGAATTTGGGTCTGCAGGAGATTGCGGGTTCAGGCCGATTGATGATCTGCTACGAATGCTCGCAGGCAAACTGCACGGTCAAGAAAGCGGTGACACTATCTGCAGATAATCAGATTTTGGAGACAGTTTTCAGGGGTAGTCACAACCACCCCTGTCCATCTGAAATGTGCCCCAGAGATGTTCCAACAGGACACATACCAGACTCTCAACACTACTCCTATGTGCCATCTGAGATGTACGTACCAGCAGGGACTTCAATTCCTCAGACTGAGGAGGGAGGTGAACAAGAACAACTTGGCAGTTCTAGCGACAGCGACGAAGAGGATGGTAGCGCACAAAGAGACCATGGCCATGTTGCCAGTGCCAGCGTAACAGAAAGGTTCTGACTGAAAAAAAAACACTTTGGTTAGAAATTAATTTCTTAATTCTGTTGACACTTAATTAACTGTACTTTCACTCGACAGACATGTGGTAGCTCCAGCTGAAAGGAGAACCAGGAGCGGGACTTATCACCGAAAGTATGCATCGATTTTGAACTAAACCTGCTCCCTCTGTCTGTCTTCTTCTAACCTTTCCATTTCCCTTTCCCCTTACTCTCGAAGTTTAAATAAATGCGCATGTCTGGTTTTAGAGTTTGAGGGGCTAAATCCATACTTCAACAAAAGTTTGAAGGCTAAAAATGGACTTTTTCCTAATAATATATAACTTTAGACTCATATTTCCTTTTGTTTATGTTGCATATTTTTCTACGCAATAGATGTGTAGCCATAAATCATGCTAATATCTTGTTTATATCTAAAAATTTTAGAAAATTATATCACTTGTTGAAGTCTAAAAAACATTCGGCAAGATTTCACATTTCAGGGATGGCCGAAAAATTTCAAATACCGATTGAAAATCCGGCTGCTTTCAGTGGTTCAGTTTAAATTTACATTTTTTTAGTCACTGATCTAGCAGCCCACATTTTGTTGTTTTCGTAACTCTGATTCCTAATACATGACAGCAAATTTTCTTCTGAACCTTACACTAACTGGTATTCATAATGCCATTTCTCTGACACCGGTGAAAATAAAGAAGACCGAAGTCTAAAGTGTGGGAGGAATTTACAAAAGAATTTAGAGATGGAAAACTTCAAGCAGCAGTCTGTAAACATTGTGAAAGCTCTCTTAGTGCAAAAACTACAGGAGGAACAAGCCATCTGAAACGACATCTGCAGTCCTGTCCTGGACGGCCTTCAACAGGTCGGGTGCAGCTGCAACGGCCATCTTCACATCCCAATTCATCTGTTGAGAAGAATTCGAATTTAGATCAAAACAAGTCTCTTGAATCGCTTACTAAGGCTTTAGTCTCCAACCTTTGCTCCTTTTCATTGACAAGCAGTACAAATTATAGGCAATTTTTGGGTGGCATCTGTCCTACTTATGACGTGGTATCGCAATCTGCTATACAAGAGAAGTTTTTCAGTATTTTTCAGAATGAAAAGCTGAAGCTGAAGGAGGAAATATCACTTGCACTTGGGGGAGCTTTCCTGACAGTAGCAAAGTGGGTTCTTGGAACTAAATACTTCATATGTGTGATGGCACATTTTATTGACAAAGAATGGAACATGATTAGAAGAATCATTAGATGTAGCTTTGCAGGGTGTAAGGTTGACTCTGCAAGTGCTTATATTAGCATGTTTCCTGATTTTCAATCGTACCGTAATGTGAGTATTTGGGACCAAAAACGAGAAGAAGAAGAAGAAGAAGAAGAAGAAGAAGAGGAGGATTTCAAACCTAACGCAATAACAATAATAAAAGAAGTAGTCCAAAGTTGGAGTCTTGATGGGAAGCTTTTAGGAATTTCATTCCCCCCGTCATTATTTCATACAAATATGTCGGGCTTGCAGAAGAATCTTGCAGGACATAATTATCTCGTCAGAAACAACTTACTAAGTTTACCTTGCATAGTAGAATCACTTAATGAGATTTTTTTATGTTGCAAGTATTGGAATGTCCTAGCACTCAGTAGAGACTGATTTCATTACATGACGTGCTCCCCACTGTGTATGCAAAAAAACAAAGAAATCCTTCTGCAACTGCAAATAAACCGACCCACTTTTGATTCACAGTGTTGGCCCGATTGGATCTCAGATTCATATATGAAACTACCAGAGGGCAGCTTGGCCCTTGGCCGCTTGAATTAAATGGAAAATGCAATGGCCTATTTTTACAATAACACTCCCTTGCCCTTTATAGAAAAATGGGACTCCCACTTGCATAAAGATATTCCAACCACTAAAGTGGATACTAAGCATATTCCTAACACTAGGCTTAGAAGTCAAGGAAAGTAAAAAGTACGAGAAAAAGTAAGATACAAGTGCTTTAGCACTAGGCTTATCTATCAATCTTCCTCTAAACCTTGTGCCGAAAGTAATCGAAGGTGATCATTGTAGCCCAATCCTCTCCCTCATCTCTTGGAACTTGGACTTCCTCAAATGACTTGGTGAGAATGTGCTCGCCAAAGATCCTTGACAGCCATAACGCTCAGTGTTATGGGCAGTGGTGGTGGCGATGTACTCCGCTTCCACAGCTTGAGAGGGCCACCACCTTCTGCTTGAGAGACTGCCAGCTGACCAAGCAATCACCGAGGAAGAACATCGTCCCGGTTGTGCTCTTGCTGGTATCCACATCACCGATGAGGTCGCTGTCGCAGTAGCCGATGAATCGCACCGTGTCGGAGGCCCTTCCATAGTGAAGACCGTAGTCGAGGGTGCCCGCCATGTAGCACAGGATTCGCTTGATGGCCTGCAGATGCTCCATCGCCGCCGCAGCCCATGAACTCGCTCATGTACCCGGCGGCTAACGCGATGTCCGGTTGGGTATGGACCAGGTAGCGCAAGCTCCCGATCAGCTGCCGGTAATGGGTTGGATCGACCACCTCCACCGTGCTCTCCCGACTCAGCTTGAGCTTCTCCTCCATCGGGGTGTGGGTCGGATTGCAGCCTGTCATGCCACCGAGCTCGAGGATGCGCTTGGAGTAGTGGGTAGAAGCACTTCGACGCCGAGGTAGAAGCAGAGGAGGCCGAGGTCGCTCATGTCAAACGCCTTCTTCATCTACGCCTTGAACACCTCCACCTTCGCTTCTTCAAATAGCCGGTGATAATGAGGTCACCGACGAGACACGACTCAAGAGAACGTTGTGTCCATTGTCCCGCGGCACACCACCACCTCATGCGCTGCTCGCGCTTGAAGCCCATCTTCTTGAGTGTGGCGCCGAAGCTTATGCTCCAGCACACGGTGCCCGGACGAGGCCATAGAGTGCCTCATGCGCAGCGGTACACCTTCCCCTCTTCTTTACGCACGGCGAGCTGTGTGGTTACGACTTAGACCTCATCCTTGAGATCGTCATTGAGGAAGGCGGACTTCACGCCCATGTGGTGGACTTGCCACCCTCTTGAACCGCCAAAGGCATGGAGGACACAGACCGACACCCATGCGCGCACCACGGGCGAAGGCATCGTCGAGTCGATCCCTCCCATCGAATGAAGCGTGCACCACCAACCGCCGCCTTTGTGCTTGATCACCATGCCCACTCGTCCTTCTTAAGCTTGAACACCCACTTGTGGTGATAGGCGGTGGCCGTTAGGCATTGGCACCAGCTCCTAGGTGCGGTTTCGCCGACGGACTTGAGCTCTTGCTCCATCGCCGTCGCCACGCCGGATCACCCTATGCCTCAACGTAAGTGGTCGGCTCACCGACGTGCATTAGATGAAGCCGGGCAAAGAGCCTCTCGTGCTATCATAGTAGGCATCTAGGTGGTCTTCATCGCCCTCCTCCGGTGTGTGGCATACTCGACCTGGCTGCCTTTGCGCGGCGCCGGTGTCGCAGCGGGTGAGGTAGAAGACGCCGAGGAGGTCACCGGTACCGGAGAGATCGACATGGCGATGTAGAGGTCGAGAGGTTAGTCATTGCCGGAGAGGTCGAGCTGCTACTAATGGACCGTCGACCACCACCGGCGGTCACGCCAACCACTGTCGATGGGCTGCCGAGCTCCCCTAGATTTGGTGATGGCGAACGAGGCGGAGTTGGTGAAGAGGTCGGCTCTGGTGATGAAGACCCATACGTCGATGAAGATGCACCTTGTGCTTCCTCAGCACCTCTAGCCCACGCGTACTCGATGGTGAAGTCACAAAGCACGGTTGCTGACCTGTCATCCACCGCCTTGTCCCATGCCCAACCATGTCCTTCATCGAACACGATGTCACGCGCCACACGCACGTGCCGTGTCACTAGGTCGAGCATGCGGTAGGCCTTAGCCCCCTCTACGTAGCCTATAAAGACCCCCGGTGAGCTACGATCATCGAGCTTGCCGATGTGGTTCAGCTCCTTGATGAAGGCGAGGCAGCCGAAGAAGCACAGATAGCTGACCGCCGGTGTGCCAGGGCTCATATGGCGTCTTGCCGTCGAGCGCACTAGTCGGAGAGCGGTTGAGCAGGTGTACGGCGGTCATCATGCCCTCTCCCCAGTAGACCGCCGGCATGTCGTGCTATTTGAGGAGCGTGCGCACCGCTGCCACCACTGTTTGATTGCGGCGCTCGACCATGCCATTCTACTAGGGTGAGTAGGGTGTGGAGTAGTGGTGTTGAATCCCCTCGTCGGCTCAGTACGCTGTGAACTCAGCTGCCATGAATTCGCCACCGTTGTTAGTGTGGAGCACCTAGAGCTTGCCACACTCCTTCTCTACGGCTGCTTAGTGGCGCCTGCAATTGCTACCTTGGAATCGAGTAGCATGACCCACATATAGTGGGTGGCATTGTCGACGAGCAAAGAGAGGAAGTAGCGCCGACCCTCAGGAGTGGCTAGTGACACCGGACCGCAGAGGTCGCCAGGCACCACTCAACCTATACATGGAGCACATAAAGGCGGTTGCTTCCTTGGTTCACCTTGGTTGGAAGACGGCGGCCCCTATCCTAGATGCATAGCATGCCGTCCTCAATCCCCACCATGAAGTCGTTTCTCGCCCCAATTGTCCGACGCTGATGATGGAGTTCTTCAAGGCCGAGATGTAGTACACCTCGGTGAGAAGATGGTGCTCCCCCATCTTGGCCTTGATGATGACCAAGCCGTCGCCCTTGATCTCGACGGCAGAGGCGTCACCGAACTAGACGGAGCCCTTCATGCCGCGAGTCCGTGTCGAGAAAAACTCACGCCGACCACCATGTGGTACGTCGCACCAAAGGTTGAGGTACCAATCATCGATCTTGTTATCGGTGGCACCTTTGCCGAGGAAAAGCGTGGCACGTGGTTCATCGAGGTGGAGCTCGGTGGAGCCAGCCTAACCTGTAAAGGGGAAAGCTTGGACATTTCACCCCTCCCCATGTCTTGTCAGAGCTCGACACACCTAT